TCGGCACAATGAAATGGCTGTTTAATGCCATTAAGTTTGGGGATGGTTTGTTATGCAGCAGTAGAAACCTAGACTGTGGACAGTAAATGACTGTGGATTACTGAAAGCATAATCATATGGTTATTTCAATTGCTGCTATGGTCCCAGATGTGATCTATTTGCTAAAACAATTCCATACCTCTTCCAACATTCTGTATGCAGCTATTCATCTGGCCAATGATAAAATGGCCTGTTGAAGATTCTGCAGTGTCGCTAGTTGGGATACAACATTCTTGTGAAGATTTGGAGCATACACTGAACTAGAAACCACTAAATGGTGCAGTTTTTCTCATGGTCAGTGTATAAGACGTCTGGAAAGTAGAGTTGAGGTGGGTAATGGCATATCTCACTGGTATGCTGAATAATCTGCCTTCAGAATTTTTGCTTCTCAACCTCATGACTTTGGTTTAGATTCTAGTACCCAGGAAAAATACACTTCTACTTAGAGACATGAGAATGGCTCCATGAACTTGGAAACAGAGCCACTTGGCCACTTCTGGCTCCTCATGTCGTTACCCTACCCTCTCCTTTTCAGCTGACTTCCAGTTACAACTCGTTGGCCAGAACTGTGCTACATGACCACCCTAACTGCAAGAGAGGCCAGTAAATGATGTGACAAATGGATCTAACAGGCTTAGAGCAACTGTGATGTATCCCCTGCTGCTGGGCATAGTGCTATCCTGGCCAAAACTTGGGCTCCATTATGGAGGAAGAAGAGGAAAAGGATGGCTCTCAGGTAGCCAACTAACAGTGCTTACCACACATGACCTAATGAAACTTTTTTTTTTTTTGAGACGGAGTTTCGCTCTTGTTACCCAGGCTGGAGTGCAATGGCGCGATCTCGGCTCACCGCAACCTCCGCCTCCTGGGTTCAGGCAATTCTCCTGCCTCAGCCTCCTGAGTAGCTGGAATTACAGGCACGTGCCACCATGCCCAGCTAATTTTTTGTATTTTTTTTTTTTTTTTTTTTTTTAGTAGAGACGGGGTTTCACCATGTTGACCAGGATGGTCTCGATCTCTTGACCTCGTGATCCACCCGCCTCGGCCTCCCAAAGTGCTGGGATTACAGGCTTGAGCCACCGCGCCCCGCCCTGAAACTTTTAAGAAGCAATAAATCCCTACAGGACCTGAGGGCAGGAGAGCAGGCTGGGAACTAAAGAGCATCCATGGTGGGTGGGGCCATTGTTAGGGGCTTTTCTCCTAAGAGTACAAAAATAGTCGTATTTAGAGCGATTGTTTACATTCCTTTCTTTACATGTGATTTTCTCCTTTTACCTCTGCAAACATCCACTAAAGTCTCATTTAATGGTAAAACTTGGCATGGTGTGGTGCTGTGAAGGTGAGAGATGAGACATAAACAATTTTGAGGCCTATCCTTAATGTTCACTCACCCCACTCTTTAAACCTGTTCTTTATTGAGTCCCAGAGTCTATAATACCCTTCCAATAATAACGGTCTTGTTTCTTTTACTTCCAAACAAAACGTTTTTAACTGGCACAAGATTTGGTACTAAAAGGAAAGTCTTCCATGATTCTTGCATTCAGACAAATGCAAAAATTTTGTTTTGGTTATCTGGTCAGATGTGGTGAAAAATAATGTGATATGGGAATCTAATAGCTTAAAGCATTTTGAGCAAAATAGCTCCTTCAATCCTTGTACGTTCTCACCTGAACGCCATCATCCGTTGCAGTTAATGCTCTGGGATAGGCTTCTTGGTCCAGGTATCATCTCCACATGAACATCTATTGCAGCATCTATGCCAAGAATTCAGCCTGATTTAGAATGATCTTCTCTCCTTTTGGGTCAAGAACTTTCACATATCATTTACATAAATATTACCTGTTACTGTTTTCATATGCAAGCTTTCTCCAGCTGCATGACTTAAATTGTTCAGTTGAGGCAATGTAGAGGTTAATTTTAGTTACAGGCCTGGAGACATTGGGGTGGGAGAGTAAGAGAGATATGCTTTTGCTTCCCTGCTAATTCCCTCAGGAGAGAGTAAGGAACCTGCAAGCAGATAAAGGTGAGGGTTGTTTAATAACGTAGGCTTAGTAGGAGCTGGGGATTCCCGGGACTCTCAATTCTCCAATTTATTCCCACCTCAAATCCCAGTGTTCTATGCTTTTCTGATCATGGCCCCAACCTTTGCTAAGAGACCTGAGAAGGCTGTGAATTCACTGAGTTTTGTAATTTGGAAAGGTGATGGGTCAAAATTTTAAAGTTTGGTTTTTAGTTGTTTTATTCTTGTGCCTGTAAGAGATAAATAATTCCTTAAGCATTGTTATAGAAATTCCCTGGATTTCTGTCTATGATCCAAACCCAAAATTCAAGAAATTTGGCTGTCATTTAAATGATCTGAAACTCTGATGAGTGGCTTTCCTATCCCACGATTCTTGAAATCTTGTGCAACCTTCACCAAAAATGTAATTTTAGAGCCTTTTATCACCTCGAAAAGAAACTCTGTGCCCATTAGCAGCCATTCCCCATGTTCCCTAAATTTCTAGGCCAAGGTTACCACTAATCTGCTTTGTGTCTCTAGATTTGCATAGTCTGGATATTTCCTATAAATGGAATCATACAAAATGTGGCCTTTGGTGTGTGGCTTCTTTCACTAAGCCTAATGCTTTTCAATGTTGTATCCATCAGTATGCCATCCCCTTTTATGGCTGAATAATAGTCCATTGTATGGACAGACCACATTTTGTTTATACTTCATCTGTTCATTTTGGTTGTTTCTGCCTTTTGGCTATTGTGAATAGTTCTGCTATGAATACATGTGTACAATCATCTGTCTAAAAATCCATTTTCAATTCTCTTGGGTCTATAACTTGGAGTAGAATTGGTGAGTCATATGATAACTCTATGTTTAACCTTTCAAGGAACTGCCTGATCGTTTTCTTTTCTTTTTTTTCTTATTGTTTGAGACAGAGTCCCACTCGGTTGCCCAGGCTGGAGTGCAGTGGTGCAATCTGGGTTAACTGCAAACTCTGCCTCCTGGGTTCAAGCAGTTCTTTTCCTCAGCCTCCCAAGTAGCTGGGATTACAGGCGCCCACCACCATGCCCGGCTAATTTTTGTGTTTTTAGTAGAGACAGGGTTTCACCATCTTGGCCAGGCTAGTCTTGAACTCCTGATTTTGTGATCTACCCGCCTCAGCCTCCCAAAGTGCTGGGATTACAGGTGTGAGCTACTGCACCCGGCCCATGCCAGACCACTTTCTAAAGTGGTTGCATCATTGTACTTGATGATGGAGTGCTGTTTCACATGAGCAACATTATGGTTTGGTCAGACAACACCCAGTTTATGATGGGCAGCTCAGGTCTTAAGACCACAGGAGTCACAGTCATTCTCTTTCAGTAAATAACTACAGCAAGCCAGGAGCTTTTCCTCCTGGCAAATTATTATTTTTTTGTGTGTGGAGGGTTTAGCTTTAAGTTTATTTCAAATTCCAGAGGCCTGAACTGTGAGTCTCTTACTAAGGCTTGGAAAAGGCTCTGTGTAGCATACTAATGGGATATGCCATCTCCAGAAAATGGCCCACTGAGTATTGCACTTCTTTTTTAGCAAGCAGAGGGTTCCAGGTAAGGCAACTTGTCTTTCTCTTTGGAGGGACCATCTCAACATGTCTCAGCCGACTGGATGCCCAGAAAGTTCACTGAGGTGTCACCTCCCTGAATTTTCAAGGGGCTTATCTCTCACCTTGTGAGATGATCAAATCAGTTTCCAGGGACTCAATTATGATAACGTGCAGAGGCTTCCTTTGATCTTTCCTTCCATTTATCACCCTCAGTCCTTGAGTCAGGAAGCCCATGCGGGAACTTTTCCAGCCACCAATTGTGTTTATTCTAAGTATGGATTCAAGAAGTGGGGAGAGAGCCACAGGGTGGCTGAGAGTGAAAGGGACATGGGCTGACTCCACTTCTGGCTAGTGGACCACAGTGGCATTCTACTTCCCCAGGGATTAACACGAGCTTGTGCAAGCCTCTGGTAAATGGCCATGGGTCCCAGGGGAACGTAGGAGGCAGGCTTAAACTACACACATGTCCCTGGCCTCACTTTTACAGGCTTACCTCACAGGCTCTGGCCTGTGGACTGATTAGATCTGGGAATTAGATGAGGCAACATGATTTTCCATTGTGGTGATTCAAGGCAGGATGCCTTTAGCCAGACCTAGCGTTACCGGGGTTATACAGATCATGATGGCTTACTATAGGACACCGCGATCAATTAGAGAGCACCAAAGATTCCTGGGGAGAAATCAATTTGGTTCCAGCTTCCAGCCCTGCTGCCTATCACCATACCCAGGCTCATCCTGTTTCTATGAGATTTAGTGCCAGTGCTTTGTCTGTGCTGTTTGGCGTGAAGTCTGGTCGCAGAGTTGCAATTGAGGTGTGCTGTGACAGTAAACACACACACACCGGAAAGACCTTGCGGGGACCAAAAAAAAAAAAAAAAAAAAAAAAAAGCAAAATATCCCGTTCATGCAGTTGTGTTTTGCCTATATGTGGAAATGATAATATTTCGGATACGCTGGGTTAAAAAAATTCATTATTAAAATCAATTTCACCTTTTTCTTTTTACTCTTCTATGTTGCTGCTAGAAAAAGTCAACATGTGGCTCATACCCTGCTCCTACTGGCCATCCGCTCTAGCTGGACGGGAACTGCAAGCAGCAAAAGACTTTCAACCTCCGCGAGCCTCAACATGTTCACTTTTTAATCAGGAGTGATCCGACACCAACCTGAGAGAGTCGGTGTCAAAAAGCAATGAGCTACTGACTGACTTCGCAGCGCTCAGCCGTGAGCCCAGGCGCAGGCGCGGAGCTAAACCCGGAGGTGAACCAGCGACAGCTGGACACGCCCACAGACTCCGGGCTGCCGGGGCGGGCGGCACTAGTGCTTCCAGCCCGGGCCAATCGGCCTGGTCGAGGCTCGAAGCGCAGGCGCGGTCGCGCGACCCTGGCCGAGCCAGCCAATCGCATTGCGCGGAAGATCCGCGCGCGCGCGCGCGCCTCGGGTCCGCGCCCGGGAAGCCCCCGCCCCCTCTCGCCCCCTCCCGCCCCGCGGCGAGGCACGCAGAGGGCTGTGAGCGGCTGGGCAGGCCTAGCAGCGCGGCCTGACGAGACTGTGGCGGCGGGAGTCTGCGGTAGTTCTCTGAGCGGTGGACCAGGCGGTACGCACGCGGTGCAGCGTAACATGGCGGATGCGGAAGGTAAGGGCTGCAGGCGTCCACGCCGTGCTAACCCCGGGCGACTCGGGGAGCCAGTGATGGGGGACGGTATCGGGGCCCGCGCACACCTCCCTCTGATTCCCGCTGGCGTGTCGGCCTCTTAGCCGACCGGCCTTGTCGCTCGTCCCTGGCTCCATGGCGACGGCGGGAGTGGGAGTCCCTCGCGGTGACTTAGCATGGCGGGGCTCGGGCCTCTCACGGACGACAAGCCTCCCTGGGGTCCGGGTCGTCGTCGTAAGACATCTGTCGTGCTGCCCACCCCGTGGTGGCGGGGGACGTGGCAGCGTCTGTGTTGCTGCCAGCCCGGACGCCGCCAGCATAGCTCCATGCGACGGTGGGAGCCAGGGTGGTGGAAACGGGCCGAGAAGAAAAGGAGCCGAGGGACCCGGGAGCAGAGATAGCTCCGAGTTGCAAGAAAGTTCTAGAGGCCACAAGCTGGCTGGGAGAGTCGAGTGGTCGCTTATGGAACTGTCGGGTCCCCTGCGTGAGCGCTTCTGTGGGATGTTTAAGCCCTGCCATAGCCACGTGGTGAACCGGAAGGGAAGCCAACGCATGCAGTAGCCTGCAGGCAGTTACCCAGCGATTCGACCCATATATCTGGCCTTACACACTTTGTTTTCTCGCTGACCTACGGATATACTTTCTGAGAAATGGGTCGTTAGGCAATTTCATCATTGTGTGAACTTCAGAGTGCCCTTACACAAACCCGGATGACATAGGCTACTACACACCTAGGCTGTATATGGTGTAACCTGTTGCTCTAAGCTCCAAACCTGGACGGCATGGTACTGTGGGGAATGTTATAGGCAGTTGGAGCACAGTGTCTAGAGGATCTGTATTTAAACATGTCTAAGCGGAAAAAGGACAGTAAAAATATAGTACAGGGCTGGGCATGGTGGCTCGTGCCTGTAATCCCAGTACTTTGGGAGCCCGAGGCAGGCAGATCACCTGAGGTCAGGAGTTGGACACCAGCCTGGCCAGCATGGTGAAACCCTGTCTCTACTAAAAACACAAAAATTAGTTGGGCATGGTGGCGTATGCCTGTAATCCCTGCTACTTGGGGAGGTTGAGGCAGGAGAGTCGCTGGAACCTGGGAGACAGGTTACAGTGAGCCAAGATCGTACCTGGGCAACAAGAGTGAAACTCCATCTCAAATGTATATGTATATATAGTACACAAGGTTAAAAGTGCTGCACCTGTAGAGGAGAGCACTTAGCATAAATGGAGTTTACTGGGCTGGAAGTTGCTTTGGTTGAGTCAGTGACTGAATGTGAAGGCCTCAGACATTACACTACTGGAGACTTTATAAAGTCTGTACACTTAGGCTACACTAAATTTATAAAAATATATTTTTCTTCAGAATAAATCAGCCTTAGCTTACTGTAACTTTATAAACTATTTCCTTCAACTCTTGTAATAACACCTAGCTTAAAATAAACACATTATTCAACTGTACATAATTATTTTCTCTGTTTATATCCTGATTTATAACTCTTCTTTTTTTTTTTTTTTAACATTTTTTTTTTTTGTTAAATAAGACACAAACACACAGTAGCCTTGACCTACACAGGTCAGGATCATTAAGACATCACTAGGAGATAGGACTTTTTCAACTCTGTTATAATCTTAATGGAGGCCACCGTCACATATGCAGTCTGTCCTTGAACAAAACATTATGTGGCATGTGACTGTAATTGTAGACCTAAAATCCATTTCCTACCTGCCCTAATTTCGGTTTTTGTTTTAAACTCATGCTCATTTATTCTTGGGGAAAATTCCCAACTCCTGTGTTTGTCTTTTTTAGTAATTATTTTACCAAAGAAACATAAGAAGAAAAAGGAGCGGAAGTCATTGCCAGAAGAAGATGTAGCCGTGAGTAGTAATGTGTTTGACTTCACTTTGACTAAAAAGAAGGTTTACTTAAATAACAAACTAAAGGAAAGAAGTGTTTTTAAAGGTTTCCAAGAATGGGCCAGGATTGGTGGTCATTGTGTAGATGTGAAAAAGTACTGATATGACAGCCCCAATCAGTCCAAGTCTCCTTCAGACATGGCTTACTAAATGGTGCTGGCCTTCGCAACTGCTCTCTCTGAATTTCTCTTCCTTATCCCACCCACAGACCCACTATCCCCCTTTCTCTTTAAATGTTTGGACCCATCTTACTGGCATTTCACTTCCCCTCAGTACTCCTGGTTCATTTCTTCTCTCTTTCCCTTGGAGGTCCCACTGAAAAGGCATAGAAAGTCTTATTTTCTGTTTAAAAGGCACAAATTTCCGTGGTAGCAATGGAATTATTCAAAATCAGGTGGGAAGTCTAATAGGTTATATTTCTCTTCTGTGGAAGGAAATACAACACGTCGAAGAATTTCTTATCAAACCTGAATCCAAAGTTGCTAAGTTGGACACATCTCAGTGGCCCCTTTTGCTAAAGGTATGTGGTTAAGATCATGCATCAGGTGAATGTCTGCTTTTGTGTTATTTCCAAGTGTTAAACAACTGATAGTGTTTAATTCCTTAAGGTATCCGAAATGAAGAACCATGTTTAAAAAAAAATTACAATGCACTCAACACTGTCGTAGAATATAACGTATGTCACCACTGCAATATTAGATTGCTAAGTTTGTAAACAGTTCTCAGTTTTTGTACTTACTCCATCTTGCAGACCTGTGCCAATTTGTGGGCCGCATAGTGGTGCTGACTCTCATTTTACATATGTTTGTGACATGTTATTTTGTTTTGTGTTGCGTTGTCACTTTCTAGAATTTTGATAAGCTGAATGTAAGGACGACGCACTATACACCTCTTGCATGTGGTTCAAATCCTCTGAAGAGAGAGATTGGGGACTATATCAGGTAAGTGTTGGGAGGAGGCACTGTTGAAACTTATTTTCTTTTGAGAATGATGCTTTCACACCAGCTATTCAAGAAGATAGTAGCATGTCAGAATAGCTTTGTCCTGAATATATAACGTGTACGCACAGTGAATTCTTTTTCTTTTTGACTCTTCAGATCTGTTGTTTCGTTGGAACATGAGTGGGTGATGCATTACTTTTTTTTTTTTTTTCTATTCTAGGACAGGTTTCATTAATCTTGACAAGCCCTCTAACCCCTCTTCCCATGAGGTGGTAGCCTGGATTCGACGGATACTTAGGGTGGAGAAGACAGGGCACAGTGGTACTCTGGATCCCAAGGTGACTGGTTGTTTAATCGTGTGCATAGAACGAGCCACTCGGTTGGTGAAGTCACAACAGAGTGCAGGTATATGGGGGAGGGAGGGAAGAACTGGCTAGAGTGGAAGCTTTCTGCATTTGCTTTCTACGTTTTGCCTGATGGAAACTATTTCTTCATTTGGGGAAGAAAATTCTGAAGCAAGGATATTGTTTTGTTTCTGTGTGCCTTCTGTCCCCTGCCAGATCTTGGTGGTCTGCCCCTTTTGGAATTCCAAATACTAAGCATGTGTTCATCAAGCTGACTGGATCCATTTGTAGCCTGGAGGCAGAACTCTGCCCAAGTTCAGCTCTCAGCTTGTCACCCCAGGCTTCTCACTCTGTGCTACCATTTCTGCCTAAAGTATCCTTCCTTCATTTTTATCTGAGAAAAGCCTGCTTATCTTGCAAGGCATTTTCCAGGCAGGCTCTATACACTGGGTACTCCCAACTGCCCTTGTTCAGTACATTGAATTCCCAGTGAGAAAGTCTTCATTCCTTTCCCACATCACCACCATGAAATCTGTCTTAATGCAAATGTTATAGAAACACAAGGTCAAACTGCCTGCTTTTCCTGCTGTGCAAAATGGGAGTGACTGAGCCTATAAGATACACAGAAAAGAGAAAACTCAGTGGCTACACCTGACTACTCTTTTGTCATTTTTCAGGCAAAGAGTATGTGGGGATTGTCCGGCTGCACAATGCTATTGAAGGGGGGACCCAGCTTTCTAGGGTGAGTCTGCAGTTCTAAGGAGGATACCCTTTGTCAACTTGGATTTCTGAGCCCCTAAACATCTGGAGATGGGTTAGTTGTCCTGGCTGACTCCTTTTGTGCCCTTTTTGGTCGGCTGCCATAGCCAGCCTGGACCAGTGACTGCACATGGTAGGGGTATCTGCTGGCCACATACATTCTGTTGAGGGTGTTTGTTGTGGTTTGTGTTTGTTCTTAGGCCCTAGAAACTCTGACGGGTGCCCTATTCCAGCGACCCCCACTTATTGCTGCAGTAAAGAGGCAGCTCCGAGTGAGGACCATCTACGAGAGCAAAATGATTGAATATGATCCTGAAAGAAGATTAGGTGGGTCATTAGGCCAGGAAGGAACTTAATTAGAATAGGCCACAAGTGGGTATGAGCACATTTTTCAGGACTCTGTTCTGTTAAAGTAGATGTGTTTGAAGTTGAAGACTTTCTGAAACCTGCCCTACAGCAGGGATATTGTCTGTGGGCAATATTTTTTATTGTCTTTTGTTTAAAAAGTGAACAGTGCCTAGTAAAGTGAGGTGGCTTTTATACCTTTTATGACTGCTTCTGCTGAAATTGAAATGTTTTCATTCTGCATTCGTGTATGTAGTTTGGTGCTTTGTTCAAAGGTAAGTGTTTTCAGAAAAGTATATTTTGCGCATATTTTTTTATTTGTCACAATTTTGACTTTTGTTGTACAAAATGTCATTTAAAAGGTTTTTCTGTTGAATCCAGAGTATTCTGAAGATCAAAGTCTGTGTGTAAAATGCTACCAAATGGCAAAAAAGCAACTATAAACAGTTGGATTTTACTTGTCTTTTTAACATATCAATATTTAGCAGGACTGGTCAGATTAAGTTGTCAGAAGTAAATTATTATATTTTTAGTAGAAATGGGGTTTCACCATGTTGGCCAGGATGGTCTTGATCTCCTGACCTCACGATCTGCCTCCCAAAGTGCTGGGATTACAGGCGTGAGCCACAGCTCATGGCTATAAATTTGAGACAATGCCAATTTTCCTCCCATCCATGAAATATACCATGCTGAATATACCTGCAACTAAGTGTTAAAAATTTTGCTGTGTGACTCTAGTGCTAATATCAGAACTACAGATCTTTAAATGTAGTAAATGCATCTATATATATACATATGTGTGTATGTGTATATATATATACACACACACATATACGTGTGTGTGTGTGTATATATATATATATATTATATATATATATGTGTGTGTGTATTTTTTTTTTTGAGATGGAGTTTTACTTTTGTTGCCCAGATTGGAGTGCAATGGTGTGATCTCGGCTCACCGCAACCTCTGCCTCCCAGGTTCAAGTCTTGCCTTAGCCTCCCGAGTAGCTGGGACTACAGGCGCACGCCACCATACCCAGCTAATTTTTGTACTTTTAGTAGAGGCGGGGTTTTACCATGTTCACCAGGATGATCTCGATCTTTTGACATCGTGATCTGCTGGCCTCGGCCTCCCAAAGTACTGGGATTACAGGCGTGAGCCACTGCACCCAGCTGCAAATGCTTATATTTTGAAAAGTAGTTGCCCTTAGCATATGGTGCTAGTCATGGCCTGTGTCTGTCACCTCTAGTCTTGATGGCTCGGATAAAGGATAACTGCTTTTCTCAACTAGAGATGTACTTACAGTAGGTGCTGCTTTTCTTGTGTTTGTGTCTTAGGAATCTTTTGGGTGAGTTGTGAGGCCGGCACTTACATTCGGACATTATGTGTGCATCTTGGTTTGTTATTGGGAGTTGGTGGTCAAATGCAGGAGCTTCGGAGGGTTCGTTCTGGAGTCATGAGTGAAAAGGTATGTGTTATGGGGCTAGAAGTTTTAGAGCACTCCGCTTGCTTCATGTCATGGGAAAGGTGCTTTCCAAAGTGTTGAGTTCAGTGCAGGGCAGCTTCCCTGTTCTGTTAATTAAACTTTGGGACATTAAAATGGGCTAGGGGAGATGACTGAGTAGAAAGTATTCTATTCATTTGCCTCCCAGCCTACAAAAATGCCTGCTTGGGTCTAATACATCAACAGTTAAAGATGCCTGGGAGAGACAGGACTGAAGAGGCTGAAGACATAATGAGCTTGTATTAGCAGACGAGTTACATTCAGTTTTATGAAGTTTGGGGTCTGATGGGCTGAGATACAAATAAACTGAATTATTTTTATATATGGCTGCTTTTCAGGACCACATGGTGACAATGCACGATGTGCTTGATGCTCAGTGGCTGTATGATAACCACAAGGATGAGAGTTACCTGCGGCGAGTTGTTTACCCTTTGGAAAAGCTGTTGACGTCTCATAAACGGCTGGTTATGAAAGACAGTGCAGTAAGTTCCAGCTTAGGAGTTTATGTTTAGGCAGCATGTACTCCAAAGATGAGGCTTGTTCCTTTTATTGTTTTCCAAGTCCAAACCAAGTATGCTAATTTAAGTTAAAGTAAAAGTTTAATGGTAGGCATACTTAAGGCACATTAAGCCGGGCACAGTGGCTGATGCCTATAATCCCAGCACTTTGGCAGGCCGAGACAAGAGGACCATTTGAGCCCAGGAAGGAGTTTGAGACAAGCCTGAGTAACACAGTAAGACCTTGTCTTCACAAAAATAAAAAACAGCAAGGTGTAGTGGCACATGCCTATATTCCCAGCTACTTGGGAGGCTGAGGTGGGAGAATTGCTTGTGCCTGGGAGATCAAGGCTGTGAGCTATGTTTTTATGATGATCAGATAATTGGCCTTTTATAAAATAAGACATATTACTGTCTTTGCTGTAACTTGAGGGCTAAAAATTTCTGGATATTTAAAATATTTGTGGTTGGTAATTACTTATATTCAAATCTTAAATTGTATAGATGTTTCCATTTTTTATGCATATAGTCTATAATAAATACTGAAAGATGGCACCATAATAAAATGCAGTCACAAACAGTGGACAACGTAAATGTAATGTCTTCTCCTTACCAAACCATTGGCCTGTGGCTGAAAATAAAACGAGGGTAGGATGTGATCAGCAAGAGATCTAGGTGGGTAGAGATGGCATAAGGAAGATGGGTGCATTGGGTACCATTGAACCTCTGAAGAGGTGGCCTTAACTTTTACCCATTGGCATATAAATTCTACACCAAGAATTTTGTGTGATTGGTTCAACAGGCCTCACTAATCTTGCCCATATCTCCAGTAAACTAATCTTGCCTTATCTCCTGATAAGGGAGAGAGAGGAGCAATTAAGGAATGCTAAGGCTTTTTTTTTATGTTTAAAATGAAAATACCGGCCAGGTGCTATGGCTCGCACCTGTAATTCCAGCACTTTGGGAGGCCAGGGCAGGCAAATCGGTTGAGCTCAGGAATTTGAGACCAGCCTGGGCAATATGATAAAACCCTGTCTCTCTTAAAAGTACAAAAATTAGCTGGGCGTGGTGGCACATGCCTGTAATCCCAGCTACTTGGGAGGCTGAGGCATGGCGATCACTTGAACTCGGGAGGCGGAGGTTACAGTGAGCTGAGAATGCGTGACTGCACTTCACCCTGGATGACAGAGGGAGACTCTGCCTAAAAATAAAAAATAAATAAAATGAAAATACCTCTAGTCTCTAGAACCTGAAAACCTGAACGTCTTTACTACTTTTGAGTCATGTGCCTAGCACAGTGAGGTAGCTGCTGCTCTTCTGAGTCCCTTCGTGCCCCTTACAGCTGTCAGTGCCATTAGCTCTGTTTCCTGGTGTCAGGCCCCACCCTCTTGTTATCCTCCTTACTCTGGTGTGGGTGTGGCATGGAGGACAGCAGCTGGGGCCCTTACACATGGTGCCATCTCTGCAGGTAAATGCCATCTGCTATGGGGCCAAGATCATGCTTCCGGGTGTTCTCCGATATGAGGATGGCATTGAGGTCAATCAAGAGATTGTGGTTATCACCACCAAAGGAGAAGCAATCTGCATGGGTAAGAGGGGAGGTTTGTTTTTTAAATTGTAAATTTTTGTGGTTATGTAGTAGGTGTATATATTTATGGGGTTCATGTGATGTTTTGATACAGGCATGCAATACATAATCACATCATGGAGAATGGGGTATGCATTTCAGGCATTTATCATTTGTGTTACAAACAATCCTATTTTACTCTTAGTTATTTATCACCTTCGTTATTTTAAAATGTACACTTAAGTTATTATTGACTATAGTCACCTTGTGCTATCAAATAGTAAGGTCTTACTCAACTTTTTCATTCTTTTGATTTTTGTTGGTGGTGGTGAGTTTTGTTTTTGTTGCTTTTTTTTTTTTTTTAACAGTCTCATTCTTTTGCCCAGGCTGGAGTGCAGTGACACGACCTCATCTCACTGCAACCTCTGCTTCCCAGGTTCAAGCAATTCTTATACCTCAGCTTCCCAAGTAGCTGGGATTACAGGTGTGCACCATGACACCTGGCTAATTTTTGTATTTTTAGTAGAGATGGAGTTTTGCCATGTAGGCCAGGCTGGTCTCAAACTCCTGACCTCAGGTGATCTGCCCTCCCAAAGTGCTGGGATTACAGGTGTGAGCTACCGTGTCTGGCCTGATTTTTCTTTTCTTTTTTTTTTCTTTTGTGCCCCTTAAGCATCCCTACCTCCCTGCCAGCCCCCCACTACCCTCCCAGTCTCTCTCAACCATTCTTTTACTCTCTCTGTCTATGAGTTCAATTGTTTGGTTCTTAGCTCCCACAAATACGTGAGAATATACTATGTTTGTGTTTCTGTGCCTGGCTGATTTCACTTAACATAATGATCTCCAGTTCCATCCATGTTGTTGGAAATGACAGGATAGATACCATTCTTTTTTAAGGCTGAATGGTTTTCATTCCATCGTGTGTATGTACCACATTTTCTTTATCCATTTGTCTGTTGATAAGCACTTCAGTTGCTTCCTAATCTTGGCTATTGTGATCTCTGATAACACTGATTTCCCTTCTTTGTGGTATATACCCAGCAGTGGGATTGCTGGATCATATCATAGCTCAGTTTAGTTTTTTGAGGAACCTCCAAACTGTTTTCCATTGTGGTTGTACTAATTTACATTCCCACCAGCTGTATACAAAGGTTCCCTTTTCTCCAAATTCTTGCCAGCATTTGTTACTGCCTGTGTTTTGGATATAAGGCATTTTAACTGGAGGGAAATGATATTTCATTGTAGTTGTGATTTGCATTTCTCTGGTGATTAGCATTGAGCACCTTTTCATATGCCTGTTTGCCATTTATTTGTCGTCTTTTGAGAAATGTCTGTTCAAATGTTTTGCCTGTTTCTTGACTGGATTATTGGATTTTTTTCCTATAGCATTGATTTCCTTATATATTCTGGTTATTAATCCCTTGTCAGATGGGTAGTTTGCAGATATTTTCTCCATTCTTGTACATATGGATATCTAGTTTTCCTAGCACCATTTATTGAAGAGACTGTTTTTTCCCCAGTGTATGTTCTTGGCACCTTTGTCAAAAATGAGTTCAGGGTAGGTGTGTGGATTTGTTTCTGGGTTCCCTATTCTGTTCCATTGGTTTATGTGTCTGTTTTTATGCCAGTACCATACTGTTTCGATTACTATAGCTCTGTAGTATAATTTGAAGTCAGGTAACGTGATTCCTCCAGGTTTGTTCTTTTGGCTTAGGATAGCTTTGGCTATTTTGAGTGTTTTGTGCAGGCGTCCCCAAACTTTTTACACAGGGGGCAGTTCACTGTCCCTCAGACCGTTGAAGGGCGGCCACATACTGTGCTCCTCTCACTGACCACCAATGAAACAGATGCCCCTTCCTGAAGTGCGGCAGGGGGCCGGATAAATGGCCTCAGGGGGCTGCAGTTTGGGGACGCCTGGTTTTGTGGTTCCATATAAAGCACCAGTGTTTTTTAACTCGTGAAAGTTTAGCTACTATTGGATCGTCTCTTAAGACTTTAAATGCTCTGCACCCTCTTAGTGAATGAACCTTAGAGCTATTCATTTAATGGGTCTAATTTGCATGTCGTCAGGATTCCTTAGCTCTGTGAGCAGGCAAGGCAGCCACAGCCTATGGACAGCAGCAGTAAAGGAATCCTTAAACTTCAAAGGCTCTATGGCCCCAAAGGGAGTGTGCATGCCATTTCTATACACGTCTTGAGCTGCAAGCCCATTATGTGTATCTTTAGGTGCTTTGTTTAGGTGTTTTTTTAACTTGAGAAGTTTAATATCATTTCAAGGGCCTCCTCCCTGTAATGGAGGATTTCTTCCATGTGCACATCCTGAGCAAAGGAAACCGCAATTAAAGTAGTAGAGCTCAGAGTTTCAAAATTTTAAAGTGGCATAGAACAGTAGAATTGGGACTCATCAATTATCAGTTCTTTCCCCTTTAAATAATTCTTTTCTTTTGTCAATGCCTGTAGCTATTGCGTTAATGACCACAGCAGTCATCTCTACCTGCGACCACGGTATAGTAGCCAAGATCAAGAGAGTGATCATGGAGAGAGACACTTACCCTCGGAAGTGGGGTTTAGGGCCAAAGGTAAGTGGGACTGGGTTGCATGCCCTGCCAGGTTCTTTTGTTTGGCGTTGTAGAATAGTTAACTTGGGCAGCTCTTGGTGTATTTCACCATGGTAGCCTTGTGTTGTGCTGGGCTCCGGATTGACAATGAGTGGAAACAGGCCAGAGATTTCAGTCTAATGAGGGGAAACAGTTGGGCATTACTTACGTAATCACACAGTGGAATGGTAATTTCACCCATATTGGTGGCTACCAAGGAGTGCAGAGAGGTGTCAGGCGCCTGGAGAGTCCAGTAGTCAAGGAGACTGGGCAAGGGATTGTCTGTTAAACCACGCCAGTGTGAAGAGTGGGTTAGCTGTTGATGAAATTAAGTGAAGAGGGGACGGGAGAGTTCAGGGCAGTGGGAACAAGCAGCATGTGCAAAGGCTGTGGTGGGGATGTGTGTCACCAAATGGCACTGCAGAGGCTCTCGCTAATACGCCTTGTGACCTTCAAGTCCTGTGTTTGTTGGAGTTAGTGGGTGAATTCTGAATGTTCTGGATAGGAGTTTGAGGTCTTTCTGAGAATACACTAGGGAGGAACCTTGTTATGTGCAGTCACCGTTCCCGTTTCCTGCATTGAAACCATTCTAATGTTGGCACCTTGATGTTCCACCAGGCCAGTCAGAAGAAGCTGATGATCAAGCAGGGCCTTCTGGACAAGCACGGGAAACCAACAGACAGCACGCCTGCCACCTGGAAGCAGGAGTATGTTGACTACAGGTGAGGGCAGGATGTTTTAGAGCCAGGGGTGGGTAGAGACGGCACACTTGCCACCTTGATGCAGGAGTACGTCATCAACAGGTGAGGATGGGGAGGGTAGACAGAGCCCACTTGCCATTTGGATGCAGGAGTACATGGACGAGAGGCAAGGGACAGGTGAGCACGGAGGTTGTAGAGCCCCAAGGGAGTGGGAGTCATGTGGTTTGGGGCAAACTTGCTAAATGCAGGGCCACAGGAACTAACTCTTCGGGTCCCATGAGGTCTTGGCTGCCTAGGCCAGTTAGGCATTTGGGCCTGCGCAGCAGTTACCTTTCTAGTCTGGCTCGTGGGACTCTAGAGGGAGTCAGTCTGCAACAGTAGTAAGTGGTGAGTTCTTCTTTTGTCCAGTGTCAGTATTTTGATGGTGGCTTTAGACTTGCCAGATAACACTGCATAGTATCAGTACTGCCCCAGAAAGCCATTCAGTGAATTTGACCTGTTGCTATCTCTCCTCTTTCAGTGACTCTGCCAAGAAAGAGGTGGTTGCTGAAGTGGTAAAAGCCCCACAGGTAGTTGCTGAAGCAGCAAAAACTGCGAAGGTGAGTGGTGTGCTGTGATCAGTTTGGAATGTGCTTAGGGTGAATCCTAAGAGGCACTGGCATTCGTCTTACCGTAACTGAGGCCTCAGAGGTGCAGCGCATACACAGGTAAAGCTGCTTCATACTGGGGTGCTTGTTTGGGCTCTGCAGGCTCCTCTGATTTGTATTCCCTGTCGTGTCTGCTGGGAGGAGGAATGTGGGCTCAGGAATCAGACCTGCCTGGATTCCTACCTCAGCTATGGCAGCAACACGGGGATAGAGTGTGTCATTCTGGCCCCCACCTTAGGTGAAATGGTAGGACAGATATGTTGAAATCAGAGGCCATGGCTGATGGACACTTGAGGCCATACAAAGTTCAGCAGAGAGCAGAATTGCCAGAGACTGGCAGGCATCTTAACCCAGCACCACCCAGTGTTTAAAGAGTCAGTTAAGCATGGGGTGGCAACTCCACCTCATGGAGCTGCTGGCATTAGAGCACAGAATGACAGGTCTACACTCAGAAACCAGCGGCGGTACTGAGTATCCTGCACAGGTTGTGTGGGAGGAGCTTCTGACTTCTCAGATGTGAATTCCTGCTTTGCCTGCTTTCTATGAGGACTCAGAGGAGCACGCTCAGAGATCCTTGCAGTCATGAGAGAAACAGCTCCTCCGGGCCTTTCTGCCCCTAAGCCCCGTGCTGCTGCTGTGGTGTTCCTGTCACGCCTGCCCCAAGGCTTCTTGGATTTAGGGGATGAGACTGTCTTCAAATCCTCAGTAAACTAGGGCCCTATCTGGGTTTGAAGTCAGAAAACGTCCTGTCACATTCAGTTGGGATCTTGGTGCCTTGCTGTGTTTTGAACCTTGTCCATTATTGCCCAAGATCTAACACTTAACCAATTGCTTTCATCTCAGCGGAAGCGAGAGAGTGAGAGTGAAAGTGACGAGACCCGTCCAACAGTTCCTCAGTTGATCAAGAAGGAAAAGAAGAAGAGTAAGAAGGACAAGAAGGCCAAAGCTGGTCTGGAGAGTGGAGCCGAGCTTGGAGATGGGGTGTGTGTAAACACGTTCAGGTTCTTGAGGCTGGCTTAGTCTCTGCATGGGGAAAGAATTACCCAGGTTGTACCAGCTTGGTTACTCTTCTTGAAGGAGCTGTGTCCCAGGGGGTGGGGTGCTACCAAGTGCCTTTAGTGCTTCCCCATGTTCCTAGAGTTCCCTTGCCCTCCCTGTGGAAAGGACAGATGGATGCACCCAGCCGCCACCGCTTATAGTTAGAGCTCTGTTGATGGTGGGTGGAGTGGATGTGTAGCTTGGTGATCTGAATGTTTCTACTTCCAAAAGTAGGCCACAGAACTTTGTGTCAGGTGCAGTATTTAACCCAGAATATTCTTACAGATCCTGAAATAGCCTTGCTTGACACTGCAGACCTTTACCAGGTTTCCTTCTGGGAGAGTCATAGTTTTGTTAGTGGCTGCTGTCTATGAGCTTGCTTTCTCTCTCTCTAGGACAGTGATACTACCAAAAAGAAGAAGAAGAAGAAGAAGAAAGCAAAAGAGGTAGAATTGGTTTCTGAGTAGTGAAGGCCACTTAAAGCATTGTGTCCAGCTGGGAGAAGAAACTAAAGCCTTATTGAGAAAACATGTTATAGATCCTTTTGTTGCTGAGAGTGTGGAACATAGGTTCTAGACAGGATGGAGACTTCTGGCGCATTTTAGCTGCTATTTGGAGACCTCGGTGATGTTACCTGGTGTGGTCATCCCATCTTGTCCTGTTTTAAGGATATGGGTGATGAAAGATAAAAGAGGCAGAGTTTATCCCAATGACTTCTCGATGTGAGTTGGGGAGCCTCACCTTCAGACCCAGTAACTGTTGGTAGCTGTCTGCTAGTGGCTGTTTTAACATTGTAGTCCTAGTTTGCATTTTTTTTTTTTATCCCCTCTGTTTAAAAGGTTTGTAAAAAAAAAAAAAAACCAAAAAAAAAAACCACACACACACACACACACACACACACACACACACACACTAAGTCTGCTCAGTGAAATGGTGTAGAATCCTAAATAAGTGACAGAGTGTCACTGAATTTTGTCTCTGAATTCAGTATAACTGAATTTGTCCATCCTGGTGTCTGGGTATAGGCCTGGCAGGCCTGGTACTTTTCCATCTTGGTTCTGGCCTAGAGGTCACTCCTTTGAATTTCCTCAAAGCTTGTGTACAGTGCTCACCTAAATCCATCTGACCTCTTGTTCCTGTGCCCTCTTGTTATAGGCCTCGTTTACTTTTAAAGAATGAAACTGTTCATTGCTGGAAGAAGAACGTTGTAATTTTTACTTATTAAAGTCGACTTGTTAAGTTTTTTATGTATTCCTGTTGGGTTTTCTTATTGTTGGTGATCTCATGCTAGCAGAGCAAAAAATGTAAAATATTTTGATTAAAAATCTAGAGACCTTTATGTCTTATTTGAAATGTGATGCTTTTCCTTTATGTCTGGCTGGTTTTACATTTTTGTTCTATACCTTACACAGTCTACCTTGGGCCCTATCAACTGATGTGACATCAAGTACTCAGAGGCAGTGATTACCACAAAACCAGTGATCTCTCTGGAACAGAGGAGAGGGTTGATGTATTTATTTATTTTGAGACAGATTTTTGCTCTTGTTGCTGAGGCTGGAGTGCAATGGTGTGATGTGAGCTCATGGCAGCCTCTGCCTCCCAGGTTCAAGCAATTCTCCTGCCTCAGCCTCCTGAATAGCTGGCATTACAGGCATGCCCCGCCATACCCAGCTAATTTTGTATTTTTTTCTAAGCAGAGATGTGGTTTTTGTATGTTGATCAGGCTGGTCTCAAACTCCCGACCTCAGGTGATCTGCCTGCCTTGGCGTCCCAAAGTGTTGGCATTACAGCAGGCGTCCCCAAACTTTTTACACAGGGGGCCAGTTCATTGTCCCTCAGACCGTTGGAGGGCCACCACATACTGTGTTCCTCTCACTGACCACCAATGAAAGAGGTGCCCCTTCCTGAAGTGCGGCGGGGGGCTGCATGCGGTCCGCGGGCCGTAGTCTGGGGACACCTGCATTACAGGTTGTGAGCCACTGTTCCCTGCTGGTTGATATATTTATACATAGTGGTCCTGGCAGGAGGGTGCCAGTGAGTGTGTCCAGGGCAGGGTGGGGAGGGCTTATATATCTGCAAGACACATCTGGACTTGGGCTCAGTGGTAGGAGCCCACTGAAGCTGTTACTTCTGATGCTGATGACAGGGTGAGTGGGGAGAGGGAAGTCGAGGGTGGGGGCATTCAGGAATTTGAAGGCCTCGGTAACATATATTAGTTGGAGAAAGCTCTAGGATTTCTTCCAATTTGGTATTAAAAACCAAGAGAGAGGCCGGGCGCTGTGGCTCATGCCTGTAATCTCAGCACTTTGGGAGGCCGAAGCAGGCAGACCACCTGAGGTCAGGAGTTAAGAGACCAGCCTGGCCAACATGGCAAAACCTGTCTCTACTAAAAATACAAAAATTAGGCGGGTATGATGGCATATGCTTGTAATCCCAGCTACTCGGGAGGCTGAGGCAGGAGAATCACTTGAACCTGGGAGGTGGAGGATGTAGTGAGCCAAGATCCTGCCACTGCACTCCAGCCTGGGTGAAAAGAGTGAGACTGTCAAAAAAAAAAAAAAAAGTGCTTTGTGAGGGTCCTTGGATGCAGCAAGGAAAGGCCCGTATCTTGAGCCAGGTGATGCAGTGAACCCCAGTCCTGGCTTAGCCCAGCCTCTACTGTACCACTGGACCCCAGGCTTGGTTTTTCTCTTTCTAAATATGTGTCCACGATGGGCTCGCCCCCAGGTGCAACCACCTCAGGGTGTTTTTCTGCATGGGCAAAGAGAATGGGGATTCTTCCAGGACACTGGTGTTTGTCATCTGAATCCCATCTGAACACAAGAGCGGCATCTTCTGTTAATGGCGTTGTCCGGGAGCTTAAGTGAAGTGGGTCACATTTCTTTGTGTGTGGAAACCCAGAGTTACAAGGTCACTGGCATTTTAACACAGGATTTTTATTGCTATTGAAGATTTCCCTTGGACAGACATCATTCCATTGCACAGATGTGTCATTTTGGCATTACAGAAAGTTGCAGTTAAAAACACTTTCTCCAAAATAAAAAGGCAAATGAAATACCCAGCATATACAGTTGAAGGTGAAGGAGGACAGGCTTTAGAGGGATGGGGTCCATGGCTTTTGCTGTGCATCATCTTTGAGCAGTTACTTTTTGTTAGTACTTCTTACCCCCAATTTCCGGAGATCCTTTTGAAATCCAGATCAGTGGAGCCCCATCTATCAGGAAAATCAAAGCCTGAGCAAGAAAATTGAATCCTGTTGGCTTAATTAGGATAGCTGCAGAGAGTTGGAAGCTGACACTAAACTAGGTGGAGCAGCCCTGTTTGTCTTAAAGCAAGAAGGGGGACGTTCCAAATGCTGGAGAGAGGCATACAGTGGGTTCTCCCATTCTGCAAGCTTAGTAAACCCAGGAAACAGGCACCCACTGTGGAGAACTGCACGCTTGGTCGAAGGCTTCTTGTAATTTCTTAAGGGTTTCATCAACACAATTATTGACCAATGAGAGGTCAAAGTAGTGAGCGTACTGGCTGCGGATGGCCTCAGAATCCTTCTGCAGCTGCTGCAGGGCCTCTGTCTACAAAGAAGAAGGCCACAGATGAAGCAAGCTGCACCACTCCCAACCCAGAGAGACTAGTGACAGATTTTAAACGGCAATTGTTAGCATTGCTCAGCTGTGCCTCATACTTGACTCAAACTCGGAAGACATTGTGAGATAATGTTAATGTAGGGCAAGAAGAGGCAATCTCAGAAGACCATGGCAATTCTCACAGGGTCTCAGGCTAACCCTGACTGATTAATCAGAGCTCTCTGGAGGACCAATAGCTATGTAGAGATGGAACGGACTTCACCGGCATCTCTCACTTAATGCCCTTTGAACATGGAAGAGCCATTTCAACAACCACCAGAGCCGCAATCCCAAAACAAAGGTGATTTTGTTTGTTTTTGAGACAGTCTTGCTCTGTGGCCCAGGCTGGAGTGCAGTGGTGCAATCTCGGCTCACTGCAACCTCCACCTCTCAGGTTCAAGCAATTCTCGTGCCTCAGCCACCATATTAGCTGGGATCACACGGGCCCGCCACCATACCTGGCTGGCTAATTTTTTTTTTTTTTTTTTTAGTAGAGATGGGGTTTTCCCATGTTGACCAGGCTGGTCTCAAACTTAAGACCTCAGGTGATCTACCCGCCTCAGCCTCCCAAAGTGCTGGGATGATGTATGAGCCACTGCACCCAGTCAGATAAAAGATCACACCTGGAATCCCAGAACTTTGGAAGGCCGAGGCAGGATGATTGCTTGAGCCCAGGAGTTCAAGACCAGCCTGGGCAACACAGTGAGATCCCATTTCTACAAAAACCAAATTTTAAAAATGTGTGTATTTCTCTTAGGCCCCTTTCTTTGACCTAAAACCAAGCAGCCATGAAAGATAAATCATTTAACTACATAAAAGTAAAAATGTCTGCATAGCAAAAAGACACGCCAAATTGGAAAAAAAAAATAATTGCAGCTGATATTACAATGATACCACAAAAAGCTACTTACCCTAATATATACTACCTAGAAATCAAAGGCCAATAACTCAGCAGAAAAATGAGCTAAGGACATGACCAGATAATTCTCAGAAAAGGCAATACGAATGGCTCTTCATATGAAAAAGTACCCAATCATCTCTTTTAGTAACAAAGTATGAGATGCCAGTTTTCCCTCCAGTAGATTGGTAAAAAATGAAAATTGTGACAACGTGCTACAGGCAAAGAGAAACGATCACTCTCACAGGATTTGCTCAACTGTCCATCTGTGCCCCTAACTGTGTGCCTCCAGGACAATGACTGGATCCGGTTTGTTTTGTCCCCATTACCTAGCATGGGCACTGGCTTAGCTAGTGGTTTCAGAACTCAAATGAATGTGATGCCCTTTCGCTTCTTGGCCCTAGAGAAAGTGAACTCTCACTCAACCCCCACAACCCTCTCCTCACCTGAGTGCCCTGGTCAGTAGGTGCAATGAACACAATGAAAGGTGAAAGTTCTGCTGTCCGAACAGTCTTCAGGGTCTAGAAAACAAGGGGAGGAAGGAAGAAAAAGAACGTGAAAAAAAAAAAAATCCATTATGGATTCCTTCCAATAAGCAGCTTTGAGCTTTACCCCAATACTATTTTCCATCATTCCCAGCACTACTGTTCTTGTTCCGGGATGACTCCATTAAAAGTGCTGCAGAAATCTTGAGCCCCAAGAAGATTCCCAAGGAGCACTGCTTTTTTTCAGCACCCTCTTCCCCATCCCTTGTGTGGCTGAGCCCATCCGTCCCTACCCTTCCATGCCTACCCACCTGCGGCTCGATGTCAAGGATGGCAATCTTGTCCTGCTTATGAATCTGGTGCACCGTTTCAAATTTGGTGCCAAACATGTTGCCCTGGTAGCTGCCAAACTCCAAGAACTCGTTGGCAGAGATGTTCCTTGTCATCTCCTCTGTTGAGATGAAGTGGTACTCCTTCCCTTCTTCCTCACTCTTCCTTGGTGGCCGTGTTGTATCTATACAAGAACCCAAATCTGTGACAAACCCCAGGTTCTCACCCTTTCATGAGGGCTTGGACCATGGTGTCTGTGTTAAAACCCTAGCTGCCTTTGGTGCATTGAGTTTAATAGAGGGGTTCCTCCCATGGGCTCCTGAAGAGCTGATGCTAAAAAGTGATGCGGACCAGGAAACCCCGCCATCTGCCTGGGAAACTCAGAAATGAAGATAGCTGAAAGTATTTTAAAAACAGATCTATAGGCTATGGTCAGGATTTCTTGGAAATATATTTAAGGTTTCCTTTTCATGACTCGGAAAGAAGAGTACTTTGGTTTAGTTTCAGCTCATG